GAGCAGAGAGAAAACATCCCCATGAGGATGGAGACTGTGCCCCAGGACAGAAATGCCCCAGAGCCCTGTCGGGCTGTGGGAAACGTGATCTAGAAGTGCCAGGGACCCACGGCAAAGCCCTGTCCCCCTGCTCCTGGGGCAGCAGCCCAGCCTGGGACAACTCCTCAGCGGCCTCAGAGCCCCCAGCCCTGCCTGTACCCCCCGCCCAGCCTGCACCCCACGGTCTTCCCAGAAACTGCGTATGCAAAGTGCCCGTGTGTGCGTGGTGCAGAGCTGGCTCCACGCTGGGGCGCAGCCCAGGGACACCCCTGCTCATGGCGCCGTCTCGTGCTGCCCGACACCTTCGGGCGGGGGACTCACCCAAGGAGAACATTTGAGACAAGCTTCTCAGGTTTTGAATCAGAAACCTGTTTGGCTGTCCCTGGCTGTCGTTCAAGGTGTAAAACTCTTTCAGATACTCCTGAGGGTCGAAGCTCCGCTGGTAAAAGTCGGTGTCGGTGAAGACCGCTGGAGCGTCCATCTTGCCAAGGGCAAACTGTGGCTCGCTCCTCCCACGAACGCCGCACAGTCAACTCTTGTACTTTCGGTTTTAGCCTCCCTCCCGCGAGCACCGTTCAGATGCCAGCCCGAAGCGCTCCCCTTTGTGAGCAGCACTTTCTGTTCCTCTCTTTCTTTCACTGAGCTTTACTTTTTGGGTAATACCTTGCTGTCACAATCCCCCCAGCAGCCCCTGAGCCGCACAATCCCCTGCTCCAATGACCATAATTAGCGGCAATCCCTGGGATTGCGTGACATGTCCCGACTTTACAGTAATTGATGGCAGTAAAGCGGTACAGTGCGAGCGGCTATCGCCGGCAGACACAGCCCGACAGCTCTGTAAACAGAATTATTGCACCCGACACCTTTGCTTCTTAATGGCAGATTGAAGTCAGCGTGTTGGTAGTGCAATGTGGCAAGGAAGTTTTAAGGCCACCAGACACCCTGGCCCGGGGACCATCAGTGTCTCTCTCATGGGAGGGAGGAATCGCTGCCAGTCCTGCCAAAGTTCCCTTGCACTGATTTTCTGGCTTTTTTTTTTTTTCAGGTTTCTTTTGGAGAACTGCACTTGCACCTCCTCACCCCAAAACCCAGGATATTCCCAGCCTCGGTGCCCGGTTTTTGTCTCCAGAGCTGACTGCAGACCCCACATCCCAGCGACGGGGAGCGCAGGGGACGCGGTGGTGGCAGCCTCCCTCGCCATCACTAAGAGGCAGCAGAGCCCCCCGCGTCTCGCGGCAGCGGGTCCTCGTAGCACCTCATCCTCTGCCGCTTGCCCAGCGGGAACCAAAATGATCAAAGGGGCTTAGGCTCATTGCCGACTCCAAATCTACCTAATTGGCTTTTGCTTTTTGAAAGATCTGTCATCAGGAGTGACGGGCGGGTGAGTCGCTGGACGGTCCTCCAGCTAACAAGCGCTGTTTTGGATCCCGAGGTGACTTGGCGTGACAAACCCTGCCCTCCACACCATGTGCGTGGCCAGACCCGCTGGGGCAAAACCAGCTGCGGACAGTGTGGAGCTTAAAAAGGGCGTCAGCTGGAAAGATGGGCATGCTAAAGGCGTTTTTTTCTGAGAGCAAAGCCAACCAGAAGCGCCCTCTGCTACTGCAGCACCGAGACCCTGAGCCGAAAGGGTCTCTAAAGCCACCGGCCCCGCGGGAGCCCCCCCGGCCACAGCAAAAGGGCCAAGGGGTGTCTTTACCCCAGGAAAGCCAAGCATAAATGCGTCTGTCCTTGCCAGGCTCTGAATTTCTGATTTATTAAGACACTGGGCACAGGTATATAAAGCAGCGAGCCCTCCGGCCAGCTGCAGCTTGGAAGCTTCGACTCATTTCTGGCGCTGTTTGCTGGCACAGCACTTGCATTTCAGCATTTCAGTCCACACAGGCTGTTTTTGCTCACGAACGGACAAGATTGGGGGATAAAAGTGCAGCCTATCAGCACCTAGAGAACCTCCGGGTGTTTGTGAGTGGGAGCGGCGGAGCATCTCAGCACTGCGCTTGCCCTGCTGCCCCCGCGCCAGCCCAGCTTCCAGCTCTTGGGAATGGGACGCAGCGCCTGTCCCCAGACAGCTGGCTTTGCCGCGCCAGCTCCCCGGCTCTGCCGAAATCTCGTCTCTCCATGTCTGATTGCC